GGTCCTCTCTCTTACTCAGCAACCTGTTAGCTCAACATTCATTAACATTTTCATATCCCCTGCAGTTCCTGTGGATGATAAATGCTTCACTTAGTTCATATTTTTAGATTACGGTCATCAAAAGCGGATATCTGAAAGCAAGGTTAGCCCTCTCCCAGGAAAGGGACATGCCAGTATTAATAGACTCCTACAATTAAAAGGGACTTTAACCCATTTCCATAACCCCGTATGGTCATTATATGGAATTATTATATGGAACAACCATATTTCAATAAAATCACCAGTTAGCCCAATTTTTTCACCCAGTTAAGAAAGGCCTCTATTAATATCTCTGATGTCCAACATTAAGGGGCAAGTCTATGATACTTGTGTTCATCGCAGAGATATTGTTGAGAATGTTGTGCACAATTGCGTACCCGTCAGGTGTAAGAGGTCCCAACACAAAACAGGATCTCTGGTCTCAGTATTTGGAATGATCTTACTTTCCCTAATCAACTGATTTGTTTTTACCTGTTGGACACTCTAGATAAAAAAAAAAAAAAACTTCCAACCAAATTCAATCTTGCCTCCATTCTTACCACTCCATTGCAACTGCTTGTCAAGTTCCAAACAACCTCTACGTTGCCACATTCAGCGGACACATCTTTGCCTTCATTTCACTGGGTCCCCTTAGCAGCAACTGATAAAGCAATGACTCCATCCTTCTTATACTACTTTCCTCTCTGGCTTCCAGAACACCGTGGTCTCTTCGTGCTTCTGTTTCTCTGGTTGATCCTGCTCAGTTCCTTCTTCCCATTGCTCTCTCCTCCCTGGCTGGACCAATTCTGTTAGGAGACTCAGAGCTTGGACCCAGCCCTCTGTTCTGATTCTAGCTCTGAAACTGCACTTCCAGCAGGAGTCAGTTTCAGACTCCTCCCCCTCCCCCTTCACTCCTTCCTACTTCCTGGTTAGAAGTTCAGAAAGATAGAGTAACACTGTCTGAATTTAAGGGCGATAGTAAGAATTCCAGGCCTTTTCCTTTTTACAAACACAGCTGTTTTTCTCTGCTTTCCCCCTGGAACCTTCTTTTCCTTTCCTTGGCCACCCGCTTTAGGAAAAGAGTGAATTAGATTGTGGCCTTTTTTATTTTGAAGTATTTGTTTATGTTATTAGGTATTGGGGTGGAAGATTCTGTGATGCAATTTAAAACTACCCTCTTAATCAGAAATGTTCTGAGAACTTCTAAGAACATAAATCAGACTTTGTTGTTTCTCTGCTTAAAACAGTTCATTGGCTGCACTTTGAATTCAGGGTAAGATCCAAACACCTTACCATGACTCACAAGTTGCCCATGTATTCTTCCCAATTTCATTAGGTACTGCTTACACCCTATGTGTGCTCCAACCACATGGCTTTTGCACTTGCTATTCCCATAGTGGAAATCCGTTTCTCCTAGCGCAGGGGCAACCTCTTTGTGAGTGCGTGCCAAAACCAGCAAAATCTCTGACTCAAAATTCTTCTGCGTGCCAACCCTAATTTTTTGAGAACATGTTACGCCTACTTGATATCTCTTAAGGAGTACATATGTGAAGAACCTTGAAGAAATAATAAAATTCATTCAAGCTACAAAAACACAGTATATAATGATGAAAAATACATTTATTTTTTAATGTATACATGTACACTGATAGTCTGACAGAAAACTTTATGACTCTGTTTGATATCATCAATGGGACTTTTGCTGCTGCATCACTGATAACAGAGATTTTACATCAGGTTTATATTTCGTGACCTTCAGAGATATGCACGAGCTACTACTTTCATCTGTCAGGCTACTCCTATTTTGAGACTTAACAAAATTCATTACTGAGAACAAAGATTCACAAGCATATGTGGATGAAAACATGAAGAGTAACGCTGTTGCAAAGTTTTTTTAAACAGAAAAAATTTTCTGGAATGGCATTCCAAGCCCTCAATAGTTTGTTTTCGACACTTCTCTCTGGTACTGCTGTCTAATCGTTTTTTTTCAATGTTTTCCAAGTCAACTCTAAGGTCAATAAATTTCTGCATCCAAATTGAGCTACTCTGAAATTCAGTCAACTGCATTTCAAAGTCAGCCATGTCTATCCATGAAAACATTTGTAAGTTTAGTTCCTCCAGTTTCATGCTGTCTGGAAACCTCATGAATTTTGCTGTCTCTTCCAGTTCTCTGAATTTCGCAAATCTTGAGAAGAACTGCTCAATAGTTGACTCGATGATGTTTAAAAACAGCTTTTGAAGGCTTTGACAGTCTGTTCTGTCATCTTTTGGGAGGTCTTTGATGTGCCTCTTGAGGTTTGGGAAATATCTAAATCTCTCACCATCCACATCCCACTTAAAGACTTCCAGTTTCTTTTCAAAAGCCTTTATGTAACCAAACATAACATCAAGTGTCTTGCCAGTTCCTTGTAATTTAAAATTTAAGTCATTCAAATGTTCACAAAAATTGTAAATGGAAGATTATAAGAGAGGGTTTCGCCAGCAAAAGTTACTGGCGTGCCATGTTTGGCACGCGTGCCAGGGGTTGCCCACCCCTGTCCTAGCAGTTCCCAAGGCTGAAACCTTATACCTTCAGGTGCCGCTCAGCTCACTCCCTCTAAGAAGCTTTTCCTGATCACCTTAATGAAGTACCTGTCCTCTCTACTCCACTTACTTTCTCTCATATCATCATGTTTTATTTCCTTTGTAAACATAATCAGAATCTGGTGTTCTCTTATTTACTCGTTGTCTTTCATCCTCCACCCTTGCTGCCTCACCCAAACTAGAATAGTTTTGAGTGAATGAATGAATGAATTTCTAATTTGAAAGGTCTAGGGTGAACTGTATCTACTCAGTCCTGGAAAAAAACACTGCTTCCCTGCCCCCAATCTCACATTAAGTAATGCTTGAAAAGAGCCAAAAGTGTACTAGTAAGGACTAAGAACTAAATGTACCTACTTTTAGCTGATTGATCTACACTAGAAGTTCTTTTAATAGAGAGTCTGACTCACTTTGAAAGAGAGGCTTGATCTCCATTTTCTCCCTTCTCTTTTCAGTCAAATAGATTTAGACAGGATCACTGAACCATAGCAAGCCCATTCCGCTAGTCCACTGCCTCACTGAAAGATCAAAATGACAGTTGTGAAATGTATCACAGAAAGCCAATGAGAAGGGGGTGTGGTCTGGTTTGATGTGTTCTGCTTTAACAGACATACAAAAGCTCTCTGGTATTAGAGCTGAAAACCAGTGAACTAAATTCAATACTTAGTTTCAGATGTTATTGATAACATATCCCAGTGTTCAATCCTTAATAATATTGTTGGTCCCTCAATCTTTGGGTGACTTTGTTCAACCAACTGATTAATTGTAGTCCTAATCATGCCACTTAAACTTTTCCCAAAAGTTCACTGCAAATTTATCAGTTTTCACCCAGTTTTGCCAGTCCACTGTCTGTAACTGACAAGCTGTCTCTGAATGGATAACATTTATTGAGTCTGAGCACTACACATTATGTGAACAACTGAAAGAAAAATTTAATGAACTTTGAAGTTATGAGCAGGGGATTTTTGGTATAATTATTAGGAATGAAATTCAGGTATTAAAAAAAAGTAAGATTTGAGCATGAATGTTCAACAGAAGCTTAATTCATTGTATTGCAACCACATAATCACATCAAGTCACCAGTAAAACAATCTAAAAAATCAAATCTGCTTTAAGGTCCAAATAGAAATTAAATAAAGTTTCACAAAAGTACTATCAGATGATCATATCACTTATGATTGCTGGGCAGATACTCTCATACCAGACAGACCTTGTTAAGGCTTTCTGTTTTTAAATACCAGTTTGACTGGTTACACATTCCATCCATGTAGATACTCTTCAGGGAATAAAGGTAATGAGAAAGAGACATTCTGCCTCTCCCACAGGTGTGTACAGAGTAGTGTAACACGTTTGAATTTTGCTGTAGGTTAAAAATCAGATGGGACGTGTCCCCAGGAATAGATTTAATTACATCTACTAATGGCAGAATATAATAGTCAGGGTCAAAGAGGAAAATAGTAAAAATGTGCTGGAGCTATTAAGAAACAAGGAAAAAGATACTACAATAACCTTCCATCAAGAGAAAAAAAAAGTGCTGCTACAAATTATTTTTCACACATTTTTCTGGTTGAATTTTTTATAAACAGTTTGGAGACATGACAGATTTGTGTCTTGTTTTGTTTTGATGTGTGTGTATGTGTGTGTGTGTGTGTGTGTGTGTGTGTGTGTGTGTGTTTAACTTAAATAAATGTTGTATTTATTAACATCCAAGAACAGGTTTTCATTAGCGAAAGTTTGGGAAGCTGCTCTATTAAATTAATCTCAGATGAACAAATGTATTATGGCTTATACTAAATGAAGACATTTTACAAGAGCCTCTGTCCTAAGTAAAATAGGCTATTCCTGGAGGGGTAATTAGATTGGTAATAGAATCAGTCTCATGTTGTTGAATCTACACTCTGATAAATTTTTGACAACTTTAAAGACTCTTTTTAAAAAAATTAAAAACATTTTTTTTATTGTTGAAACTATTATAGATGTCCTGTAGTCCCTGCCCCCCTGCCTCTGGCCATCACCACACTGTTGTCTGTGTTCATTGGCTATGCATATATGTTCTTTGGCTGATAGATTTGTATTCTTTGGGAGAATTGCATATAAATGGCTAATATTCTGTTTTTGATCCTCTTTGAGATCCTTTTTGAACTTATTGTTCAGTACTTTGGAGGAATGAGCATTGAAATATCAATGTATGGATAAGCATAGCATGTATATTTTTGTATGACTAGCCAAAGGTATCTGTAATTGTTATGCAAATTGTACAAAAATGCCTTATAGATTTTTACTTAAAAAATTAAGAACACATTTAGGCAGAATCACTAGTAATGACCATTCAAAAGCCATTTTTCAAAGTAGGAAACAGAGGTAGAATTGACACTGATGGTTGCAAACAATGTTGAAGAGATTCATTCGTCGTCGGTTGCATTTTTCTCTCTGTCTTTTATCATTTTCTTTACCTAAGGAGAATGAAAAAGATTTTTTTTTCCAATTGCAATTTTGATTTATTTGGAATTACCAAGTAGTTTGGGGTTAAAATATGTAGGCATTGTACTGAAGTCCTTGTAATGAACTATACAAATAATTTAGACTTTGGTAAGTCAAGAATACCTGTCATTTCTAGGAGAACCAGTAAAAATATGAGGATATTGGGACAGTGACCCTATTTTGTATAATGCTGTAATTATAGATACATATCATATACATTAAAAAATCTACAGAATGTACAACACAAAGAGACAACCCTATGTAAATAGTGGACTTTAGTTAATGATGTGTCACTACTAGCTCTTCAACTGTAGCAAATGTACCACACTAATGAAAGATGTTAATAATAGGGCAAACCAAAGGTGGGGAAAGGAAGTACCAGTAAATGGGAACTCATTGTACTTTATGCTTACTATTTCTGTAAACCTAAAATTACTCTAAAAAATAAAGTTTATTACTTTTAAAAGGTTGCCCCACTGTAAAAAAAATTTAAGAGAGTGAAACTTCTAAACTAATAGAAAAATGGAGTGATAAAAGAAGGCAAAAAGTAGAGGAAAATAAACAGAACAGATAGAACAAATAGATAGCATATAGTAGGACAATAGATGTAAACCAAATATATCTTTAACATCAAATATAAATGGACTAAATTCTTCAATTAAATACTTCTCAGATTTTAATTATGGTAAAAATTATATTATGTGATATTTGTAAGAAAGACATCTAAAACCTTCTCCCCAAATTCAAGAAGATTGAAATCATTCCAAGCATCTTCTCAGACCACAATGGCATAATATAAGAAATAAACTACAATAAAAACAACCCAAAATACTCAAACACTTGGAAGCTGAATAGCATGTTATTAAATATTGATTGGGTTACCAATGAGATCAAAGAAGAAATTAAAAACATCCTGGAAACTAATGACAATGAAAACACAACAATCCAAAACCTATGGGACACAATGAAAGCAGTCCTGAGAGGGAAGTTTATAGCTCTACAGGCCTACCTCAACAAACAAGAAAAAATGGTAGTAAATCATCTAAATCTACAGCTCAAAGAATTAGAAAGAGAGCAACAAGAAAACCCCAGAGTGAGCAGAAGGAAGGAGATAATAAAGATTAGAGCAGAAATAAATGACATAGAGACCAAAAAAACAATACAGAAAATCAATGAAACCAAGAGCTGGTTCTTTGAAAGGATAAACAAGATCGACAAACCTCTAGCCAGGCTCACCAAAAAGCAAAGAGAGAGGACCCAAATAAACCAAATCAGAAATGATAGAGGCGAAATAACAACAGACCCCACAGAAATACAAATGATTGTTAAAAAATACTATGAACAACTCTACTCCAACAAACTAGACAACCTGGAGGAAATGGACAAATTCCTAGGAAAATACAACATTCCAAAACTCAATCAGGAAGAATCTAAAAACCTCAATAGGCCAATAACTATGGAAGAAATTGAAGCAGTCATCAAAAAGCTCCCAGCAAACAAAAGCCCAGGACCAGATGGCTTCTCAGGGGAGTTTTACCAAACTTTCAAGGAAGAACTAAAACCTATCCTCCTCAGACTACTACAAAAAATTCAGGAGGAAGGAACACTTCCAAGCTCATTCTATGAAGCCAGCATCACCCTAATACCAAAACCAGGTAAAGACAACACAATGAAAGAGAATTACAGGCCAATATCCCTCATGAACATAGATGCCAAAATCCTCAACAAAATCTTAGCAAATCGGATCCAGCAGTACATCAGAAAGATCATACACCATGACCAAGTAGGATTTATCCCAGGGATGCAAGGATGGTACAACATCCGTAAATCAATAAACGTAATACATCACATAAACAAATTGAAAGAAAAAAACCACATGGTCATATCAATTGATGCAGAAAAAGCATTCGACAAAATCCAACACCCATTTTTGATAAAAACTCTCAGCAAGGTGGGAATAGAAGGATCATACCTCAACATAATAAAAGCCATATATGACAAACCCACAGCCAACATCATACTCAATGGACAAAAACTAACACCATTTCCCCTAAGAACAGGAACAAGACAGGGATGCCCACTCTCGCCACTCCTCTTCAACATAGTCCTGGAAGTATTAGCCATTGCAATTAGACAAGAAGAAGAAATAAAAGGCATCCAAATTGGAAAAGAGGAAGTAAAACTGTCCTTATTTGCAGACGACATGATATTATACATACAAAACCCTAGAGACTCCATCAAAAAACTACTAGACTTAATACATGAATTTGGCAATGTAGCAGGATACAAAATTAACCCCAAGAAATCTGAGGCATTTCTATACACCAATAGTGAACTTTCAGAAAGAGAGATTATAAAAACAATCCCATTTACCATCGCACCAAAAAAATTAAGCTACCTAGGAATAAACTTAACTAAAGAGGTAAAAGACCTCTACTCAGAAAACTACAGGACGTTGAAAAAAGAGATAGAGGAAGACATAAACAGATGGAAGAACATACCGTGTTCATGGATTGGTAGAATCAACATCATTAAAATGTCCATACTACCCAAAGCAATCTATAAATTCAACGCACTTCCCATTAAAATACCAACGGCATACTTCACAGATCTAGAACGAACTCTCCAAAAATTCATCTGGAATAAAAAAAGACCCCGAATAGCTGCAGCAATCCTGAGAAAGAACAAAGTAGGTGGGATCTCAATACCAGATATCAAGCTGTATTACAAAGCCACTGTTCTCAAAACTGCCTGGTACTGGCACAAGAACAGACATATAGATCAGTGGAATAGAATAGAGAGTCCAGAAATTAGCCCGAACCAATATGCTCAATTAATATTTGACAAAGGAGGCAAGAACATACAATGGAGCCAAGATAGTCTCTTCAATAAATGGTGTTGGGAAAATTGGACAGATATATGCAAGAAAATGAAACTAGACCACCAACTTACACCATACACAAGAATAAACTCAAAATGGATAAAGGACTTAAATGTACGACAGGAAACCATAAAAATTCTAGAAGAATCCAAAGGCAACAAAATCTCAGACATATGCCAAAGCAATTTCTTCACTGATACAGCTCCTAGGGCAGTTGAAACTAAAGAGAAAATGAACAAATGGGACTACATCAAAATAAAAAGCTTCTGCACAGCAAAAGAAACCATCAACAAAACAACAAGAAAACCCACTGCGTGGGAAAACATATTTGCCAACGTCATATCTGATAAGGGCCTAATCTCCAAAATTTATAGGGAACTCATACAACTTAACAAAAAGAAGATAAACAATCCAATCAAAAAATGGGCAAAGGATCTAAATAGACACCTTTCAAAAGAGGACATTCAGAAAGCCAAGAGACATATGAAAACATGCTCAAAGTCACTAATCATCCGAGAGATGCAAATCAAAACAACAATGAGGTACCATCTCACACCTGTCAGAATGGCTATCATCAACAAATCAACAAACGACAAGTGCTGGAGAGGATGTGGAGAAAAAGGAACACTTGTGCACTGCTGGTGGGAATGCAGACTGGTGCAGCCACTATGGAAGACAGTATGGAGTTTCCTCAAAAAGCTGGAAATGGAACTCCCATTTGACCCTGTGATCCCACTTCTAGGAATATATCCCAAGAAACCAGAAACACCAATCAGAAAGGATATGTGCACCCATATGTTCATAGCAGCACAATTCACCATAGCTAAGATCTGGAAACAGCCTAAGTGCCCATCAGTAGATGAATGGATTAGAAAACTGTGGTACATCTACACGATGGAATACTATGCTGCTGTAAAAAAGAAGGAACTCTTACCATTTGCAACGGCATGGATGGAACTGGAGAGCATTATGCTAAGTGAAATAAGCCAGTCAATGAAGGAAAAACACCACATGATCTCACTCACTCATGTATAATAAAGACCATTATAAACTTATGAACAAAAATAGATACAGAGGCAGAGATGCCTTGAACAGACTCAAACTACAGCGGGAAAGCCGGGGAGGGTTGAGGGGCGGGAGGGGGGGCAGTAAGAGATCAACCGAAGGACTTGTATGCATGCATATAAGCATAACCAATGGACACAAGACCCTGGGGGGTAGGGGAGACCGGGGGAAGGTCAAGGGGGAAAATAAAAAGGAGACATATGTACTACTCTTTGTAATACTTTAAGCAATAAAACAATTAAAAAAAAAGAAAAAAAGAAAAAGCTCCAAATACAAATATTGTTCTATTAACAATAGTAACTTATTTCTGAGAGGTTTCAAAAAGGTTGTCATTGCTATGATATTAAATGTAGTCATTGCTACATTTAATGTAGAAATCTAGAATTAGAATTGTAAACAACTCTGGCCCAGGCGGCATGGCTCGGTGGTTGAGCATCGACCTAGGAACTAGGAGGTCACGGTTTGATTCCCGGTAAGAGCACATGCCTGGGTTGGCTCAATCCTTCCCAGTGTGGGACATGCAGGAGGCAGCCGATCCATGATTCTCTCTCATCATTGTGTTTCTATCTCCCTCTCCCTCCCTCTCTGAAATCAATAAAAATATATTATAAAAAAAATAAATAAAACTTAAGGGGAGAGTAAAGAAATCTGGCATAGCTATAAAAATATTAAACAGAGTAGTTAGAGTTCATGCTATACCTCTTAATGATAAAAAGTTCAATTTACTAGAAAGATGTAAGAATTCTAAATTAACTTGCACCGAATAACATAGCCTTAACTACATAGACGCAGCATAATTTGACAGAACTACAGGACATTAAGCAAATTTACAATGAAGATTCGAACAACATATTTAGCAAATCTGACTTAATGGATATATTTAGAATACTTCCCAGTAATTGCAGAATAAATCTTTTTCAACCCCAATTAATTATTTAAAACAATTAACCACATGCTACATCATAAATCATGTCAACACATCTCAAAGATTTGAATCTTGTTCTATGAGTAAAGTGCAATTGACTT